TTCAAACCAGATTTTTATTTGCTTACTTTTAAATTGCCTGATGACTGCTAATGGTTTCATCCTTCCCCCCCTCATCGAACTGCAGAGAAAAAGAGTGTTTTATGTGTTATGATATCTGTTTTCATATTAAAAAACTAAGCACAAAAAAATTCCCCATAAAAGCTAAACAAAACAAAAAACTAAGATTTATTTTTTCTCCATTAGTTTTAAAAATATATTTTTGGTGAAACGTACAGGCAGGCTTTTTTGTGCAATTACCTTCTACCTCTTTTTTTTGATAAGAAAAAGTTAAAACATATATGTACAAATTGAATTTTAATTCTGATATAAGAGGAAATAAACCACATTTTCCTTGCTGAAAAGTAGAGCACGTACAAATACCGAGTAATTTACTCAGTAATTTTTAGAAAAAGTAAATATGAAATGATTGTAGCAACAGCATCAGCAGCATGTATTTAGATATTGGTTTTCCTGTTTTGTAATCACAAAAAAACTTTTGTCATGGACTTTAGTATTATTGAACATACATAAAAATGTTTTGTTTTCTTGAATGTACAGAGATGATGACCACCTGTTCTACACTTGGTCATTTTCTGTGGCAGAATTATTCTTTTGTATATGTTTTATCTCTTCTTATGTAAAAGACAATGGTCAATACATGATCCTAACTCCAATTTGAATTGTAAATAATTAAAAAAATAGAATAATTTTATATCTACTACGTTTCCACAAAAATAAAGGCACAGATTATTTGGTGCTTCGGCTTTCTCTAAGGCAGCTATTTAAAAAAATGAGATCTGAATTTTAAATAAATCTTGAAAATCATGACAAAAAGTATGCATATAGATAACTGAGCTTTTGTTCATAAAAATGTGGAAAAAATGAGTGGATATAACTGCTAAACAACTAAAAATTATAAATATCTGAGTTTACTTTAGACACTAATGGAGCACAAAAGCTTTTAAAATTACAGAAATTTCACCAACTTTAGTGATTCTTAGGCTTATTTTTGTTATACAGGTTGGTCATATAGCTGGCAGTTTTCCCTTGGTGTGACTCTTGTAAATTATTATAGTCTGTTATCAGGGTGAAAAGCTATTAGAGTTGCGTGAAGTAATACAACAGCATCACTTCAGAAGATTCAAGCAAATCCCAACTGTACACATATACAACTTCTCCACGCTTTTTTTTTTTACTTCTTTTTGTTGACATAACCCTTGAAGAAAATGTGCTACTATTGTGATGCACTTTACTGTATCTTACTCTATGTGAAATGTGCTTTTGCACAGTTGTATTTCTTTGTGGAACAGTGATTTCCCTTTAGTGCATCCTGGTTTGTACGTACTGAAATGTAGTGTGTTCGGGCTGTAGCATGACATAAAGTGTATTTTTATTATAGTGCGCCTTCTAAAATAACACAGATTGTAGGATACTTTTTAGTCAGTTAGTGTCAAGTTTAATGATATTCCCATTTAGCATCGACTGTTTTCCTTTCAAATGTTTTGACAGTAGTCATCCCTGTTAAGTGCTTTCGGTATGAGGCTCCGGTAGTTCGGCCGTAACCTGATCGGTGTTTTGTTTCAGTGTGTTGTCTGCTGACCCAGAGAACACTTGCATTAGCTGCATTGATCAATCCACAGCACATCTCATCATTTAGGAGACAATTAATACTGCGGCATAAAGACTCCCCAGAGCATTTTCTCAGAGCTGGATTGCTTTACACAGAAACCACAGGAGTTGTTTGCAAAAGGGGGAGGAAGCCAAGTAGGAAGAAAAACACTGAGAAAGCTTTCTCTAGGAACCAAGTCTCGTTTTCTGTGGTGCCTTCCACTTTGTTGTGGTTTAGCTGGAACCAGGGCACACTTATGTCATTTAAACTCCCTTTTTTTGACAGAGTGTTTTGGGAAGAAAATAATTAGCTGTATTTTGAAGTTGATTTGTTGAAAGACACTATAACAGGTAATATAAATGTACTAAAAAAAACTTGCTCTTGATAAACATGAATTTGATTGTGATACTTATATAACTTGCTGTTAAGAGTGTAATCATTCTAATTTTGTATTTTATCTCAAGGTTTATTAAACTGACAGTTTTTGAAACACTGATGTGTTGTGATCCTAATTTTAATTACTTTTTAAATAACATATTTTAATAGAGAAATAAAAAAGTTTATTTCTCATTCTATCAGTTTTGCTCTAGAGCTTCTTCCACGAAGTTGAATTTCAGTGTTACCTGGTACTGTTTCTTAAGAAAAAAGTCTTTGAAAGACTTTTTTTTTTTTTTTTTTTTTTTTTTAATACGTTAAGTTAATGAGCAGGCAAGGCTCTTAGTGTGACGTTTCATCTTTAGGTAATGAAATATTTAGTCTTTAGAGATCATTCACAGGAGCAGATGAGAAGCATTTACTAATAATACCAATTTTTTTCTTGCAGGTGACTAAGGTTACTGTACTATTATTCTCTGTTAAAACTATGTTGCAGTGTTGTGAAGAACATATGTTAAGATGACTTGATAGCAATAGATATTACTAAAGATGAAACTGATAGGAAGGGAAGTTTAGGGAGGAGGTTACTTACCTCCCTGGTACATTTCTCTAATCTCTGTATTGCCTGTGATTCTGTGCAGATTGTGCAATGATAATGTGGCCAACTAACACATTGTGAACTTCAGAAATAATTGCAAACTTGTTAGCATTTACCACATCATTACATTGTAATTTTCGTTTATTTAGGTATAGTGAATGAATTTTTCGTCAGAAAAGATTCGCATGTGATGGTGTCAATCATATTTATGAGAAATACACCAATGACAAAAATTGTATTTATTTTTGTGCTAATTCCATGGCTCATATTTGTTATTTTGCTTCCTCTCCTGTAATCTTGAAGCAAAACTCACACTGGCACTGAGCAGGGATATGTATCTGGCATATGTTTGCATGGCAGTATTATTATGTTTTCAGGAATACACTAATATAATGGTAATTAGTGTTATAATTTTCTTCTGTTAGTAAAACTGCCCTACTGGTATTTGAAGGTAAAAACATGGTGATGAAAAATCATTAATATTAGTATGTTGGAAATGTACAGAATGTGATTGTGGAAGTATGTACTACCTGTTCAAATTTCAAAGCAGTTTTACTTGGACATCTACATTGTCTTTTTTTTTTGGTAGTTCTGCAGAACAAAATTGGAAACTACAATACTCTGGTTTAAGTTTCGTTTTTCCAACTCCTGTTAGATCTTGTTTTTCAAGTGAAAACTGATCGTGTGGAACCTATTGAAGTGGTTTGATATGTGGAATAGAGAATGCGGTTTGTTTCAGTGCAGTCGTACTTGTATTCTTAGGATCGATACTGGGTTTTTCATATTCTTTGTCTACTGAGGATGTATCAAGCTGCAACCCAATATGTAAAAAAAACCCCTTTTTTGGTATACAGTAAATCATCTAAATGCTATACAATATCATCTAAAACCACTCTAGTAAAAAAAAAAAATATTCCACAATTCTGAATCCATCTTTAGCTATCCTGTAAGTGTTTTTAATTAAGAAATCAAAGAAATAAGGACTGGTGTGTTTTTTGTGACACAGAAAGCACAATTTCAGTTTGGAAAAGGGTTATGTGGCACTGCAGGTTTTGTCTAAGCCTTTCTCGAGAATTATAACTAGTTATTTAGTGTTTGGTGGTAATCTGCATAGAATTGCAAATTCTATGAGGTAGTATACAAAAGACAAGCTAAAAAAGGCACATCAGACTGTCTTTCTCCAGGCTACATGGATAGGCAAGTAATTATAATGAGTCAATGAAATTAAAGATGAAAGTAAGTAATGGTGATATAAGGGAGAGTGAGTAACAGCCAATACAAGAAAAACAACATGCTGCAGATTAGAGGGAACAGTTAAAAGAAATGATAGAGCAGAATGGTTAAAACTGAGAAACAGGCAAAACTAAGTGACGAGAAACAGAGGGTTACACTTGGGGAATTAGGAATATGTTCAAGGCTTGCTTTTCTTAAGCATCCCTCCTATATTTACAAATGAGTGTGATGGGAAAGTGTCACCTCCTCTGCTTCATTGCCACCGAAGGCAATGTATTCTTACACATAGAATAAATATGTATTTCCCCTGTCAGACCTATTTGACATGCATGTAGTGACCTTAGAACATGGGTGCTTAGAAGGTAGCCGTGTAATCTAGATATCCTACATGAATGTTATGCAGCATAACTGTAGACAGAAGTTCTTGAAATGTAATTTGTGGGGTATTGACTACTTATTTGATACAAGCTTTCATAATTTCCAACTGCTAAATCACATTAAAGACAGCTTAAACTCAGTGTATTCAGTAAATAATTGCAGTTATTGCAGGAATGTTGTACAGTAGAAAGGTTATAAAAGACCAAGTGGATACTCAAATGTCAGTGGGCCTTGAAAGGTCTTGCCGTAACAACTTGAAGCTGTTTAAAACATCAGTGTAATAATGTTTACACTAATAAAAAGTCTACACTAAATGAATGTATTTGCAGTTCAAGTGTTCATTGCAAAAGTTTATTCCATGTGCCTCTATAATACTGGCTATTGTGTTCACCCATATGTTACCTAGAAGTTGCACAATATTTTGGAGTAGTCTAGAACTAGGCCAAAATAATTTAAAAGACGTGATTTGCACATACTTATCATATTTGCTAATATTTCCAACAAAACCTAGTGATTTTGTTGTGTGCGTTTTTTTCGTTTGTTTGCTTGTTTTCCTTCTGTTTTATGTTATCTAGATTGTCTTGGAAAGTTATGTGTTTTTAGGATCTACACAAATATGCATTGTTTAAAACATCTTCAGATCGTCAGTGTGTTATCTTTTGGAAATCTCTCATTTGTATGTTTACAGAGGTATTACTAGTTGGGTTTGCGAGGTTGCTTTTGAGTGCCATCTTTATGCCATAATTGAAGCAGTTAGTGGGATCTTGAAGAATCCACTTTGTTCAGATCAACTTTTGGTATTTGCAGGTACTACAGAGCGGGTGTGTCTGATCCAGGGAACAGTTGAAGCGCTAAATGCAGTTCATGGCTTCATTGCAGAGAAGATCCGAGAAATGCCTCAAAATGTGGCCAAGACAGAGCCTGTCAGCATTCTACAGCCTCAGACCACTGTTAATCCAGACCGCATCAAACAAGTGAGTTTTTGGTTGGGAATAGAGAGTCACAGCAGCTTCTTAGAAGTCTTAAAACTTTAAGGCTGCACGGGGTCAACATAAAATGGTCTTTAAGAAAATGTTATTTTACCCTTTAGTAATTTGATGGTCCCCTTTTTCTTTGTACTTACGTGTTCCATGTTTCTCAGCAGTTCTTTTAGACAGTGTTTTATGAGTTTCAGTGCCTTGCTCTAATGTGTTTCTTTCATAAACTTTTCTTTACTGTATAAGGTGATAGATAATACACTCCTAGGTTTTAGTTAAAGATCACTGAATTTTAACCTGAAATGATGATCCTCTTTGTAAATCTTTACCGTTACTAAAAGTCACAGATTAACTGAATGTTTCCTACTTTTATGTATATAAAATAAAACCAAAAATGTTAAGTGCTTTTTAGATCCTATACTAGTTACTTCAAAATCTTATCTGTAAAAACTAGAACATATAAAGATAATTTACTTGGGATGTTTTCCACAATTTCATTTTATTTTATATTTGGCATCTTTTTGCCTGTTTTACACTGACATCTTTCAAAATCTGAGCAATGCAAAATATATTTGCAAGGTATTATTGGTATAGTATTCTTTAGTTCATTACATTTTTCCAGAACAATTTTATTAAAAAAAAAAAAAAATTGCCCTGAAAGGAGAAAGTGAAATATGTGTCATACAAGATTTTAAATTATTTTCCATTGTATCGAATAAGAAAAAGATGAAGAAAGAAATGAGTGAATATCAGTAAATTTTTTTCTTGTCTCTCTGTCCTATATAGGATAGATTTTAGTTTCTCACCTGCCCTATATGGGAAAACATTGTTTCGTCCTTCTATATTAGCAAAATAGTGTCCTATAAAGTAGTTTGGTAACTGTATGCAATTACTTTTTCTTTGTATATAGTGACATACACAGAATGCTTGTATGAAGGTGTGTTTGAACAGGATACATTTGGAGTGATCGGACTGCTTTAGATGGATGAAACTGTGCATAAGCCATTGTATATGATTTCAAATATTTACTCCTATATTTTTTCTGTATGTGCAATACTTTTGCATAAAAATGCTCTAGATAATTTTAAAGACAATACTAAAAGGAAAAACCCCGGTTTTATAGGATTAGTTTCTCAATTATTAGGCATGAAAATGATTCTTCCTGAGATATAGAGAAAAAGCTGAAGATATCAGTATTTTGAATGGCTTGTCTGCTTATAAAATGTTAGATTTCATGCCAATTCTTAACCCAATGGGAAATTAGTTTTCTGTATTACAATGAAAAGCATTTTTCCCCTTTGCAATTAAATGAAGCTAATTTTTAGGTAAGTCAGTAAGGTCCTGAAAAATTAGATTATGGAATTGTTTAGTGACATGCCTAAATATTTCCTGTCTTGTATCAGAAGTTGATATAAATTTTCCAAAATACTTCTCCAGACAACTTATTTGTAAAGTTGTTGAGGTTTATTTTTTTTAGTTTGATTTTTTTTTTTTCAGTTTGGTTGGTTGGTTTGGGGTTTGTTGTTTTTTGTTTTGTTTTGTTTTGTTAAAAACCATTCCATGTTTGGAATGTTAAATTAAATTTTTGGGGGATGGATAAGTGAACAGAGCTGCTGCTAGTGAAGTTAAGACACAGACTAAACACAGTATATAACTTCTAAGGCTGTTATTTAGTGACTGGCTCTACACCTTAAAATTTAAAAAATATTACCTGTATACATACAGGTGCATAATAATATGACTGCAAATATTTGGAGATATGCATGTGCATATGTTGAGCAGTTTTAACTGCAGTAAATTGTTTAACTTCTCTTTTAATGAAGTAACATCTACCCATGATAAATTCATACACTATAAATATTTGCTCAAGAAATCTAAAATCAATTATTTTTAACAAGAAATGAAATTGTTAGCTTAGTTCCTAAATTTGCGGTGAAGTAACCTATCCTCCAACATCAGAATATCCTGTATCTTAGTGAAAGATGTAATACCTCTATTTAAGAAATTAAAAGGATAATATGTCATAACAGTTAATAGTAATCTATAGCTCCAGTGTTTCTATTTTTTTTAGTAGCAGACAGGTCACAATTTTGTTAAAATTATCAGGATAATGTATAATACAATTAATTTTGAACTTGGCAAAAAAAAAAAAAAAAAAAAAAACAAATTACTGTCTCTTCTTTTACACAAACTTTTACGTGGTTCTTCCTGTCAGAGTATTACCCAAAAACTTCAGCACCCAAAGTATTACATTGCAGATTGAAAAAAATAGACTTAGCATTTGAGCTTGAAAGTTGATTTGAAATAATAAATTATACCTTCATTAGCAACTTTGACAATATTTCTGTTGGTTTTCTAGCTGTTGCTACAAAAAAAGGAAAGGTAGTTTTCTCCCCATGAATGAAGATATACAGCTCTCATTTATTTCTCTGTTGTCATTTCTTTGTCCTGGGCTGCTTTCCTGACACTCGCCTCAGAAAATCAAGCTAAGAAATGCAGTATCTTCTGGTTACAGTTTCAATGAAGAAAGACAGTAGGTAAACCCTTTGCTGACTGCTTGAGTTTCAGCACTTTCTGTCTTCAGGAAAGGCGTGGGTATACACGGAGACTGAGTTTGGCCTGGTGTTTCTCCTTATTAATGGAAGTCGCTATCCAAACATTATGGTCTCTCTAACTTCAGCTTTTTCAGACTGAGAAGATCTGTAAATAAGTCTGGTTCCTTTTGAGCCTTCTCCACTGCATTTTTCTACATCCCCTAATCCTACAGATTTATCAGTAGCTACCAGGTAGTTCTCTCCTCCAAGCAGGTCTGATGGATACTTAATTGACAAATTTTTACATCTTTTATCTCTACGTACCATAGGCAATCTCCTTGTAGATGTTGGTCATCTGCTGTTTCTAGGTATCATTCAACAAAAAACAAGTGATTCCTGTGCCCTTTTCCTTACTAGAAAATCCTATGAGCATCTAACCTCCCTTTTCTCTCTTTATTAGTTCGAGTGTCACACCAGCTCTTTCCAACCATATTGTAGCCCAAGGGAACAGAATACAGGTTTCATAAAGTGATCAGGAGCCTGAGCTGTTTGAGCTTTGTAATTAACATACAAAGATTTAAATTTCACTGCTACATTAATAGCAGCTCCTTTAAACAATGAAAAAGGCTGCATAATGTGGTCTTACCACCTTCTTCAGAAACTATTGGAGCTTCTTTGTATGCTAGTTGGATTTTCTTTCCAGCTTTCTGTTGTTTTACAGGTAGCATGTGTTGTAGCAGCCTGTCCAGGAAGCACATGGAATCAAAGATGGCCATTGCATATAGAAGGAAAGATGTGTGATCTTATAGTTAAGGTTACTTTAAATTGGAGTTTGCACTTCTTGGCCTTTTGAGGTCCCTTTCAACCTGAGTCATTCTTTGATTCTATGAAATGTTTAGCTATCGAAACATGGACAAAAGTTTTAGCATGTCTTCCTTGAAAATCTACAGTAAAACTTTCACAAATAGAACTTCCAATTAATGTTGTCATTGAAGCCAGTTTCATTTGAGCTTTTTCAGTAGATAATTGGCCTGTTATGAGTCTTTAATGTCTGCTGGTTAGTCATGGCTCTAGACACTGTATTAAAAATCTGCAAAAATGAGTGTCTGAATGCAGATTTGTAAGTTCATATTCTTCTAGTGAAAATGACTTTCACTCCAGAAATTATGATCAATAAAAAAAATTGAAACATTCATAATTTTTAAATAAAAGTTTATATTCTGAAGTGCTTAAATAGAACCTGAATTTAAAAATACAGATCTGAATATATTGGCTTAAATGGAGGATTTTTTTTTTAATACAGGATATGAGTTCTTCAGACTATAAAGTTAGACTTCATAGAATCATAGAATGGTTTGTGTTGGAAGGGATCTTAAAGATCATCTAGTTCTAACCCCCTGCCATGGGCAGGGACACCCTCCACTAGACCAGGTTGCTCAAAGCCTCATCCAGCCTGGCCTTGAACACCTCCAGGAACTGGGCATCCACAACCTCTCCGAGCAAGCTGTTCCAGTGTTTTGCCACCCTTACAGTAAAGAATTTCTCCCTAATATCTAATGCAAATCTACCTTCTTTCAGCTTAAAACCATTACCCCTTGTTTTATCACTACACTCCCTGTTAAAGAGTGCCTTCCCATCTTTCCTGTAGCCCCCTTTAGGTACTGGAAGGCTGCTAAAAGGTCTCCCCAGAGCCTTCTCTTCTCCAGGCTGAACAACCCCAACTCTCTCAGCCTGTCCTCGTATGGGACAGTCCTCTGATCATCTTCATGGCCCTTCTCTGAACTCACTCCAGCAGGTCCATGTCCTTCTTATGTTGAGCCCCAGAGCTGGATGCAGTACTCCAGGTGAGCAGATTAGAGGGAGAGAATCACCTTTTGACCTCCTGGACACATTTCTTTTGATGCAGCCCAGGACACGGTTGGCTTTCTGGGCTGCAAGTGCACATTACCAGCTCACGTCCAGCTTTTCATCCACATCCCCCAGTCAGTCCTTCTTTAAGAAACCTTCATTGGTTTCTGAAAATGCGTCTCCCTTCTGATGAGCCTTTCTTCTTTTCATCATCTAAGGCAACTGTCTCACCTACATGAACCTCATTGAACTCCAGAATATGAGAAAATAACTCTAAATTTTTCATTTGAGGTAAATAAGAATAAGTAGTTTTGTAGATAACTGTCTCTTCATCCAGTCAACAATTTCTCATAAACTTTTCTCACTTTTGAACTTAGGTGAAGCATAACACCAGTTACTATTTCGCAATGAATAATAAGATATCTAGGTGTGTTTACAAGTTGAGGACAAAAAAAACCCCATTATTTACTAGAGACAGTTCTATATGTTAGATCCCATGGCAGAAGTTCAGCATTCCATAAAAATATGTGTTACTATATCCTGTCCCTCGTGTGCCCTTGACTTAATTCTCATGCCAGAACACTGTTTTAATTTTGTTTCATTTCATCAGTGTTG